CTAAACCTAAGTAATGAGAAACAAAACATAAATATTTAGAAGAATATCTGCAGTTCTGCTTTACTAACATCACTGGAATTCAAATAGAGTAGAAGCAAAACGTAGGCCTACTGTGCAAAGTTGTTCTCAGTCACGAGTTTATAAAATCTTCAAAACTAAAACGTCATTTGAGACGAGTCATTCGGGACACACCAAAAAAGATATCGTGTTCTTTCGTCGGCATGAAGCTAGTTGCAAACGTACGTCGCCAAGGAAATACAGCATTAGCGCAAGCATCAAATGAAGTTGCGATAGAAAATGCCAAGCAAAAAAAAAAACAAAAACACAAACAATAGAAGAAAATCTCATCAAACGCTGCATGTTGAAGATGGTGAAGTTAATTCTTGGGGATTCCAGTGCAGTAAAGATGCAACAAATATCTCTGCCTAATAATACTACTCAGCGGCTTGTAGCCGACGTGTCCGTAGATATTAAATAACATTTTTTTTAATGAAATCAAGCGTTCACCATTGTTTGCTTTTCAAGTTGATAAATCAATAGACGTGAGTTCGTGTTCGCAGTTGCTGGTCTTTGTCTATATTCATTCAATTGATAGCAACGAAGAGTTGCTATTTTGTGAAATAGCATGGAGAAAATAAATACATTTTTTTTTAAACTGGAAGATTAAAGTTAGTTAAAACGGCTGTGGGGGTTTGTACTGATGGTGCGCTATCCAGGTTTAGGTAAAAATCGGGCATTCAGAAAACAGAAAAGATTTAGCTCACTAGCCACTGCATGATTTACCAGTACGCCCTCGTCATCAAGACTCCATTGCAAGTAACAGTCGTACATTATATTTAATCGGGAGCAAAGACATTAACCCATATTCTGCTAGCGTCCCACTTATGGGACGCTTGGTAAAAAAAATGCTAAAATTTATTAAAAACTAGTTAAAACACAAATTATGTTTCATTGTATTTGAAAATGGCTAGACTATTGAATTTGTGTGTGTTTTGTGAAAAAGAATAATTTAGAAAAATGTTATAGTGCCTGATTTGCAGGACTTGTCAAAATGGCGGAAAAAAGAAAACATGCGCACAGGATAATGCATATCTTCTAAAATATTAACATTTTAAGTGCAAAATACATTTGAAACTTGTAGCAGTACCATATTTCTATCTGATAAAAATTTAAAAATAACATTTTTTTTTTTACTACTTCGTTATATCAAGTGTACAACAAGCGTCCCATAAGTGGGACGCTAGCAACGAATGGCCCCATGTAGATTGTTACACAAACGTCACATTTATTGGACATTAGCGAGAAACAAAGATGCAAATGTTTATGTTAAATGGTTATTTATGGTGAAACAATTGTTGACTTTGTTAACTGCTGACTTTGGGGTGTTAAGTAGTATGTATAGATATTTAATTATGACCTTGACCTATATTTATGCAGATTGTTACACAAACGTCACATTTATTGGACACTAGCGTGAAACACAGATGCATATATTTATGGTAAATGGTTATTTATGGTGAAACAATTGTTGACTTTGTTAACTGTTGACTTTGGGGTGTTAAGTAGTATTTATAGATATTTAATTATGACCTTGAGCTATATTTTCTTATATATTATTGTATTAGAAAATTGCAAATATTGAAAAACTTACATTTTATTTTTAAGTTTTCAGAATTACACTTACTGAAGTATTTAATACCATTGAATACAAACTAATTTAGTATTGCTGTAAATTTACTAGCGCGTGATATTAAAATTATAACAAACCAGAATAATAACAATGGCCACGATTTAGGTGAAATGATTCAGTCATGGGGGTTGATTAACTCTCTTCATATAAGAGAGCTTAAGCTACATATAGCAGAAAGGTGAATTAGCTGTGTACAGTTGTCATGCCGCAATAATATCCCCCTCCAAAGGTTACCGATACCAGCTTTACTTTGTTAACTTTTTAAGGAGATTCCTGGTGTTAGATTGGGAGCTGTTCGCATAGTGAGGTGCATACATGGATGAGAGCCATGAACACTCAATACAAGCCCCCAGAGACGGATCCGTGCCCTAGAAATAAGATGTCTGATGTCCTAATGTACGCCTGTGGGGGGGGGGGGGGAATAGCGAGGGTAACAAAAGAGAAGATAGCTGGATGACATCTGGGACTGGACCGGATCATCTATTACAAATTGACTAAGGGCAGAGTTTCTTTCAGGCATCATTTCTGAGGGGGGGGGGGGGCTCTGCCCCCAGAAGAAAATGGAATTTATATACAAAACATACTTTTACCAATGTCCACCCTTCCCCTGAAATTTAAGTCCCCACCCCTGAAAATTTCAAGTACCCCCCCCCCCCCCCAAAAAAATCAATGATTTATATTTAATTATATTACAGTTTCGATGAATAATAACAATATTTGTGATCAGGTGTGTTTAATTAGATGTACTAGTCACAGCTTTACTTATTTCCAAGGGTTGTTCACTTTGATGGATGCTAGATTGAAAGAAAACTAGACTTTTGAACATAATTTCGGCATTTTAGACCATGGTACGGCTAACCCAATTGATCATTATCAGTATTTTTAGCTGTCCTAAACAATGTAATCATTGGTCTAACAATACAAAATCAGTATACAGCTTAATTTTCGCTCAAATAGCCATATTTCGTGAAAAATGATTTTATTTTTCAATAAATGTACATGGGGCCGTTCGTTGCTAGCGTCCCATTTATGGGACGTTTTTAAAAAAATCGATATTTAAAAAAGTATTGATTTTTAAAAAAAATCCATAGTCATTCCTTCATTCAGTGCCCAAAAGCTAAACCATATCAAAAAATTATAAAAATTTGAGACCTTGGGATAATATGGGTTAATATAGATCACGAGGTTCTGCTTTTCTACACTACAGTACGCTGGCTGTCAAACGAAGTGTTGTGAATCGTGTTTTTGAATTGAAATCTGTAATCAAATTGTTCTTGGAAGTGCAAAGGAAACAAGACCTTTTGGTATACTTAAAACGACATAGAGTGGTTGGAGAGAGTATCATACCTAGCAGATATATTCGAACATCAACGTAAGCTTAACCTGAAGCTTCAGGGAAAATGAACGAGGATTATTACTTTCCATAATAATCTCGGGGCATTTTTATCAAAGCTGCAAAATTGGCGAAGAAAATAAATCTTGGAAATGTTGTACATTTGAGAAACTCTGCAGTATGGTAGATGAACCTGATTGTGAGATAATTAAAATTTTGAAAGAAGCGATTTCTGGGCATCTTGAATCTCTTGAAAACGAACTGCGGCGCTATTTCTCTGAGCTGAAAGAAGAAGAATCTGCATTGACGCATTACCCATTCTCTACTTCCCTTGATGTTGCCAGCATTCCCGATGAATTACAAGGTGAATTCTTTGATTTGCAGAATGATTCCGCCTAACATGAAAAACTGCTCACACAATTTTGGTGTATTATTCACCATTCATACCCAAACGTAAAATTGATCGACTTTTCGAGAATAGCCTTTCAACACTATTCTTCGATTAAAAACAAAATTAAGAAGTAAATTGAATGTTGATAATGACATAGGTTGGCGTTAACAAAAACTTAACAGTGAATGTTTGGTAAATAGCATGCAATTTTAAACATCGTATTAAAACAGTTATCAAGAGTAGTTCAAATTGCTTATTTATTTCCACACTAAATTCGGCTTTTTAATTTTATGGGGGTCGCGGGTCACTAACTATTTATAAAAGGGGGTCGCCACTCGAAAAAGGTTGGGAACCACTGCTTTAAAATTTATTATGTGAGTATGGTGGATTCTTTCCCTTTTTTTGGAAGTGATCAAAAAGTTGAACTGTAATTTGAAAATGTTTTCTTAGTAAATTGTGGTCATATGTTATATTTAACCGCTTATAATTGTTCCCCTTTTGGTTATTCTTTCGATTTGTACATATCAATTTAACTCCAACAGATAACTTGCCACTAGTTAAAGTATTATCAACCTACCAGTGTAAAATATGTTGTAATTTGTTTTGTGGTAAATAAAATTTAAAAAAATAAAATAAATAAAAAAAAAATTCATAAAAAACGTTTTAATAACAAGCTTTTATGTAATGATGCACTAAAAAGTAGAAAATAAATTATAGACTACTATTTAAATAACTATAAAGAAAAGCGTGGGTCACTTTAGTATCTATTGGATACCTTTACTAATGTTAAGGAAGACACCCACGCTTTTCTTTATAGTTAATTAAATAGTAGTCTATAATTTATTTTCTACTTTTTAGTGCATCATTACATGAAAGCTTGTTATTAAAACGTTTTTTTATGAATTTTTTTTCAGTACTTTACATATTTTATTTACAATAGAGTTACATGACTAAAAACCATTGCGCGCCTACTGAACATCACGTTCAGTAGGCGCGCAATGGTTTTTGAACGCAGCCATTACGTGATGGCGCAGCTATTGAAGGTGATGACGCGTGTGGTGTGGTTGGCTAGACATGCCTACTAATTCGGTCCAAATTTTTATTAATTCATAAAAAATTAATTAGGCATCCAATTAAGTCAAATTTAGTTTCAGATTGCATTGTCTTCATGTCTTGACCCACGTGTCAAATGTGAATCGTATCGGTCAAGTAGAACTGTCCGAATTTTCATTCCAGCGTTTCTATCTAGACTGACGACTGACGACTTACGACAGACAGAGGAAGTGAGTTAAATAAAAGCTTGTAAAAAATAAAAAAATTCGAGAAAGTTTAGGGGAGATCACTCCCGGTTTATTTTTGCACATTAACAAGGCTTTCTCTATACTTCGTATATACAAGAAAGTTTGTTTATTTTTTTTTTTGAGTGAGTTTGTAGGCCATTTTCATTCATTGTTATATTTAAATGCATCTACTTTAAGTATGAATGAGTGTATAGGCCGTTTTTGTTAGTGCTTGAGCATACCACATGCTGTTATTATGTTGATGGTAAAAAGAGACAAGTGATAGTTAAATGTCATGTATTTCAGGTGAAAACATTGCAGCTGTTGGCAACACCAGGCCGATACCCAATCAGCTGATTGATATGATAAATGAGTGGATAGCTGAGAAAAAATTTAACGTTGGCGGCACTTTCGAGGAATGTTGCAGCTTTAAGTCAAGTGACTGCTGTCACTACACGCAGGTAATGGGGATAAAAAGAATAATGGAACAAACGTTTCTAAATAACTGGAATTATATTTTAAAGAACTTACAGCTTTTTCAAAAATTGGATATATGTCAAAATACCTCTAAATAAAACAATAATTTTCCGCTCTATTATACATTAGGAAAGAACTACGTCGAAAAAAAACCAATGCAATGAAAGTGATGTAAAGATATTAAATTCGGATGCGTTAAGTAACATTTTCAAAACCCTATAAGTTAAGTTTTTTTTTTTTTTGAGAAATCGGAAATAGCGTAAATTACTTCTTCCGGTCAACCGAAATTACTCAAAATTTGATAGCAGGTAGAAAAGTAGATCTATTACTTATTTTTGAAATTTCGTTTATCTATCTGAAATAGTACCCACGTTATAGGCATTTGAAAAATTGAAACAGAATTAGTTCCATTTCCGTTTATCGGAAATCGCTGAAAAGTTTTATATGGAACTTCAAATTCGATATAATACTTTTATATGAAATTTCATCAACCTTGCTGTAACGGTACTCAAGTTATCTTGTTTACAGACACACAGACACACACACACAGACACACCCACACACATACACACAGACATACGGACAATATTGCAAAATTATGTTTTTCCGTATCAGTGAAGTGTAAAACGTCGAGATTTGTAAAAATCTCGATTTTTTTTTTTTGCACCATTACAAGACTTAATTCTTCGTATATACGAGAAAGTAAAAAAGCAATTGCATAGTAACGACATAGCAGTAACATAGCACTAAAATGTGGAATAAAGAAATAATATTACATAGTTATAATACAAAATGAGATTAAATAAGAATATAATATATGCATGAGAAATGTTTTAATGATTCAATTAGAGAGGTCATTAAATAATTATTGTTTTAGTTTAGTTTTGAACATATTTTCAGATCTAGATTATTTTATTTTATTAGGAAGATTGTTCCACAAATTAGAACCAGAGTAGGCGAAGCTATGTTTTTGGAAAAAAAGTTGTATATGGGATCGGTAAATTAAGACGACGATTTAATTTTGTGTTAAAAGAAAGGTCTGATAAGTAAGAGGGGGCTTTTTCGTGGGATATTTTATAAATCGTAGTATATATATATATATATATATATATATATATATATATATATATATATATATATATATATATATATATATATATGTATAAATTCTTTAGTATATATTATCTTTTTATTAAATGAAGGTATACTAGTTGTAATAAAAGAATCAAGGCTACTAGACAAGCCAGTAACCAGTTTTATAGCCTTTTTTTTGTAATGATAGTAGAAGACGCTGCTTAGTTATAAAGCTGCCGCTCCACACTACAGAAGCATAATCCAACCTAGATTGAATAAAAACTTAATAAAAAACCAGCCTGCTCCTATAGTCCAGAAAAAAAAACAACTATGTTTTTCTGTCTCAAAGAGATATAAAACTTCAAGATTAGTAAAAAATTTCACAATTGCATAATTTCAATACTTTTTTATATACTTCGTATACGAGAAGGTAATAAACCGGAAGTGATCTCCCCTAAACTTTCTCAAATATTCTTATATAACACTACGTGGAATGGCAACTCGGAGAGTAGACATGATTTTTTAATTACTTAAACTTTTAAAAATAGAAGAGAATCTCGTAGAAAAAAGAATTGCGCACCAAGCGAACGCTAAATAAAATGTGCATAATAGTGCGGAATATTATTAGTACTTTATAAATTTACATGCGTTTTTTTGAGAAATCGGAAATAGCGTAAATTACTACTTCCGGTCAACGGAAATTACTCAAAATTTGATAGAAGGTAGAGGATTAGATCTTTTACTTACATGTGACATTTCATTTATCTATCTGAAACGGTACTCAAGTTATAGGCTTTTGAGAAATTCAAAGTAGAAAAAGTACCACTTCCGGTTTTCGGAAATCGCTCAAAAGTTGATACGGATCTACTATTTTGATGTAATACTTATATTTGAAATTTCATCAACCTAGCTATAACAGTACTCAAGGTATCGTGTTTACACACACAGACACACACACAGACATGCGGACAAGATTGCAAAAATATGTTTTTCTGACTCAGGGAGCCCTAAAACGTCGAGATTTGTAAAAATCTCGATTTTCTTTTGCCCGATTACAAGACTTACTTTATACTTCGTATATACGAGAAAGTAAAAAAGCTAGAAAAAACAGCAACAACAAACATTTAAATTAAAGAGGTCTTGAGACCGACCCACAGGCAAATGAAGCTCAGTAGTTAGGGACAGGAATTCATCTAGAAAAGACAACTTACTTGTAGTTTGTTTTTTTACGGAAGCAAATCAACAAAGGAAAGCAAGCCGATAGCGAAATGCCTAATGCCATATGGCGCATAACATGTAGACACGTCATAATTTAATGTGTTTGAGAAAATCTCGTCTAACATTTCAATTGAGAACGAAGCAGAAGAGTTTGAATCTGAAATATATGTAAAACACTCTGAGTGGTATCCATTGAATGTGTTAGTTTACAAACCTAGATAAATATATTTTAAGACGTATGCACTCATAAACTGCTCGTTTTTACTTTCTCGTATATACGAAGTACAGAGAAAGTCTTGTAATAGTGGAAAAAGAAATCGAGATTTTTCCAAATCTCGACGCTTTACACCTCCCTGAGTCGGAAAAACATATTTTTGCAATCTTGTTCGTATATGTGAGTGTGTGTGTGTGTATGTGTGTGTATATGTATGTTTGTGTGTCTGTAAACACGATAACTTGAGTACCGCTGCAGCTAGGTTGATGAAATTTCAAATAGAAGTATTATATCAAAATCGTAGATCCGTATCATTTTTTGAGCGATTTCCGATAACCGACAGTGGAACTTTTTCTACTTTCCATTTTTCAAAAGTATACATCTTGAGTACTTTTTCAGATAGATAAATGAAATTTCACATATAAGTAAAATATATAATTATCTGTCTTCTATCAAATTTTGAGTAATTTCCGTTTACCGTAAGTAGTAATTTACGATATTTCCGATTTCTCAACAACAAAAAAACGCATGTGAATTTATAAAGTACTAATAATATCCCGCACTATTATGCACATTTTGAATTGCGTTCACTTGGTGTGCAATTCTTTTTTCTACCAGATTATATTCTATTATAAAAAGTTAAATTAATTAAAAGCGGATTAAAAATATTGTCTATATCCCGAGTTGCCATCCCCCGTAGTGTTATATAAGAATATCCGAGAAAGTTTAAGGGAGATCACTCCCGGTTTATTCCTTTATTAATTTGTGCATTTGACATTGCTTTCTTAAATCTGTTTTTAGGCCGTGTGGGCCAACACTCGGCAAGTTGGATGTGGGTATACAGCTTGTGAGAATCTTGCCTATGGGAGCGGCACATTGACAAATATTGCATTTCTCGCATGCTACTACACACCCTCGTGAGTTGGTTTATAATTTGAATTAATTAAAGTTTGTATGGATTGTATGCCCCATATGTCTTGGGCTCAATCGGGAAAAGATTTTGATGTACGAGCCGACCCGCAGCGTAGCATACGCCGCTATTTGATTGTCTTATTTTCTACTTTTTAGTAATTCACAATTTTTAAATTCGACACTACCCCCCCCCCCCCCTCCATGGCTCGTGAATTATCGTCCGTGACGACAGTTTACAGGCGACAATGAAAATATCAAGCAGAAATAGTTACCTCCCCATAGTTTCAAATCGTTTAAATACTAAATTATCTGCCCTTAATAGCCGTCACGACTCCGACCCATAACTACTACGAGCCGACCCGCTGCGTATCATACGCCGCTATTTAGTTGTTTTATTTTCTACTTTTCAGTAATTCATAATTTGTGAATTCGACAGTACCAATGCTGCCACTGAAAATATTTGCTTTACAACACTAACCCTCCCCCCCCCCCCTCTTTTCCCCTTACCCTGACCCTACACCCCCCCCCCCCCCCCCGTGAAAGCATCCTCCTCTTAGTTATTTCTTAGTTACCACCTGTAAGTTTAAAATCGAACTAAATTATCTTCCCCTAATAGAAACCCGGCTCTACGATTTGTAAACATTTAGAGTGAACACAGCTCACCAGACAATGTGGGGGTGGGGTGGGGGTGGTAGTGATAGTGATAGAGAGAAAGAGAGGGGACTGCAAGGAGGCGCTTGCAGCTTGTTTTCTAACGGCTCCCAGAAGAGAATTATATATACGAGCCGACCCGCTGCGTATCATACGCCGCTATTTAGTTGTTTTTTTTCTACTTTTCAGTAATTTATAATTTGTGAATTCGACAGTACCAATGCTGCCATTGAAAATATTTGCTTAAAAACACTAACCCCCCCCCCCCACACGTGAAAGCAGCCTCCTCTTAGTTACCTCCTCTAAGTTTAAAATCGTTTCAAACTCAATTATCTGCCCCTAATAGCCGTCACCAAACCCGTCTCTATGATTGTAAATTGTAAACAGAGTGAACACCGCTCACCAGATCATGTGGGGGTGGGGGTGGGGGTGGTAGTGATAGTGATAGAGAGGAAGAGAGGGGACTGCAAAGGCGCGCTTGCAGCTTGTTTTCTAACTGATCCCAGAAGAGAATTATATATATCGATAGATAGATTGTAAACATTCGTCTTGAACCATGGCTCGCCCGTCAAGTGGGGGTGAGGATGGTTGTGATATGCCTAAAGAGCGGGGGAGTAACCGCGTGCGTTTAAGTGGTGTCTCGCATTGTCCCCATGCAGAGCATTATATAGAATAGATGTGGTGTCTACCCACAAGGATACACAACTTAGAGGAAAAAAAAATGATTTAACACGTTTCATGTGTGTTAATAAATTCATAATATGTTAATATCTTTTAACATATAGACAAAAATAGTATATAGCCGCTGATAGCCTGGTTGCCATGGAAACCACGAAAAGGTGTGATACCTAACACGTGTTCACACTCTGTAAGCTTTGTTCCAAAATAAGATTTTAAAATCTGAGAGAGATTTAGCTTTTTTAACAAATCTATACAACAGGCAAAGCTAACCTAATATATTTCTACGTTTTTTCATTATGACAGCATGTATTCCACTTTTAATACATGTGTTTTTAAATAAAAATTAGGGGGCGGTGCAACCTTTACCTCTACCTCTACCTCTACCTCTACATCTACCTATACCTATACCTATACCTATACCTATACCTATACCTATACCTATACCTATACCTATACCTATACCTATACCTATACCTATACCTATACCTATACCTATACCTATACCTATACCTATACCTATTCCTATACCTATACCTATACCTATACCTATACCTATACCTATACCTATACCTATACCTATACCTATACCTATACCTATACCTATACCTATACCTATACCTATACCTATACCTATACCTATACCTATACCTATACCTATACCTATACCTATACCTATACCTATACCTATACCTATACCTATACCTATACCTATACCTATACCAATACCTATACCTATACCTATACCTATACCTATACCTATACCTATACCTATACCTATACCTTTATCGTTACCTGTACCTTCAGTTTTACGTTATTAAGAAGTTTTTTTCCAGCACCTATACCCTTAAAATATCACATGGTCTTTAAAGACATCAACATGTCATTTTAAATGTCAATTTGTCATTTTAAATGTCAATTTGTCTTTTTGAATTTGTAGAGGAAACAGCCCGATAGTCACTTACGATTGGAGGCCTTATATCCCGGCTGAGGTCAAGGTCACTCCATAGTCAGTCATGTGGTCTAATATTATCTGTCTGCCTACTGAAATTTGGTGATGTTTGTCTGCTGAAGTTTGGCGATGTCTGCCTACTGAAGTTTGGCGATGTCTGTCTACTGAAGTTTGGCGATGTCCGTCTACTGAAGTTTGGCGATGTCCGTCTACTGAAGTTTGGCGATGTCTGTCTACTGAAGTTTGGTGATGTCTGTCTACTGAAGTTTGGCGATGTCTGCCTACTGAAGTTTGGCGATGTCTGTCTACTGAAGTTTGGCGATGTCCGTCTACTGAAGTTTGGCGATGTCTGCCTACTGCAGTTTGGCGATTTCTGTCTACTGAAGTTTGGCGATGTCTGCCTACTGAAACATTCATTGTTTTATTATGTAAAAAAGTCAACACGTGAATAACCTTAATTTTTTATGTTGACTTCATTGAAAATTTAATAACATGCATTAAAATACGATATTTATTGCCTAGAAGTGTTTTGTACTTTTAGAAATTGAGATTGGGGTAGGCTAAGAATAAGTTAAGATAACGTCAGGGATAAGGTTAGGCTTAGGAACAGAGTTAACGATAGGATTAAGCAAAGAGGGTTAGAGGTATGGCTAGAGTTAATATATGGAGATAAAGATATTTAAGATAAATAGAGTTGGATATGGAGAAAGGTACATGTTGGAAGCTAGAAATAAATAGAAATATGATTTTGTTCGTTTTTTTCGGACTCTCCAAAAATAGTGGATGTATTTGACGTTAATTTTCAGTAATTAAACACAATTTTTAAATAAACCGGAAGTGATCTCCCCTCAAGTTTCTCGAATATTCTTATATGAAACAACAGGGTATGGCAACTCGGGATATAGACAATATTTTTAATCCATTTTTAATTACTTAAACTTTTTAAAATAGAATAAAATCTCTTAGAAAAAAGAATTGCACACCAAGTGAACGCCAAATAAAATGTGCATAATAGTGCGGAATATAATAAGTACTATATAAGTTTACATGCGTTTTTGAGAAATCGGAAATAGCCTAAATTACTACTTCCGGTCAACGGAAATAACTCAAAATTTGACAGAAGCCAGAGAATTAGATCTTTTACTTACATGTGAAAGTTCATTTATCTATCTGAAATAGTACTCAAGTTATAGACTTTTGAAAAATTAGAAGTATAAAAAGTTCCGGTTATAGTAAAATCGCTGAAAAGTTGACTAGTTTCCGTCGATGGAAAAAGTAATTTAAGCTATTTCCGGTTTCCCAAAAAAAAACCGAATAAGAATGTATAAAGTTCTAATATTCTACACTACTATACAGATATTGTTTGCCGTTCAATTGGTGTGTAATTATTTTTTCTACGAGATTCTATTCTATTTTAAAATGTTTAAGTAATTAAAAATGGATTAAAAATATTGTCTATATCCCGAGTTGCCATCCCCTGTTGTTTCATATAAGAATATTCCAGAAAGTTTAGGGGAGAAGAAGTATAGAGAATAAGTAATTAATTGGCGTTTGTGTTTATGTTTGCGTTGCGTTTGTGTTTATGTTATTTCCGTTTGTGTTTGCGTTGCGTTTATGTTTGCGTTTGTTTTGGTATTTTCTTGTGTGTTTGCGTTACGTTTGTGTTTGTTTTTCCGTTTTTTCCGTCTGTGTTTGCGTGTACGTTATGTTTGAGTTTGTTTTTGTTTTATGTTTAGTTTTGGTTAATTGAGGTTAGGGTTAATTAGAAAGGTAATATATTTCCTTAACCCGGAAAAGCAGGGTATATGTTGCTTAATAAACACAGAAGTCATGGTTCTTTACATATAGGATTTTCACAGAGGCAAGTGCAGAATTGTAACCAACGTGTTTGTAGTCATGTCAGTTTTTACTGAATTTACATTGGCTATTTTTGAGTTATTTCGATGTTGACAAGGTAAATAAATTCCAAGATGGCTGCCATCACCAAGTTAATGAGAGGAAACTTTGGCAATAAAAAAAATATGATTTACTCTTTGAAAAATAACTATATGCTAAATGTTATTGCGTTATGTTTGAAAAGGAGCATTTCGGTACTCATCACCCACACACCAACCTAACCCATATTCTAGGCTAATGTCAAAATTATCTTGTAATGGAAACATTACAGAATGAGAATATTAAGAAAATGAAGATTAAATTTATTTGAACCATGGCTTTCAACAGGCATATACTTTAGAAAATGTCCTGCATTGTTGAGCGACGGCGCTCATCTAAAATTAAACTATTCGTAGGATTTCCATCGTTCATAAAGTATTATACGTTAAGCCCAATTAAGAAAAAAAGCTCATAATCTTTTACTATATTTTGGAGTAATCAGCTAAAAATTTTAAGTGTAGATCTTCAATCTAATTTATTATGTATTTTCAAATTGTGGATCAGTTAAAACCACTACATTTAATATGATATGCACGTTTTTCAGCCTTTTTACTTTCTCGTATATACGAGGTATAGAGAAACTCTTGTAATCGTGCAAAAATAAAAAAATCGAGATTTTTGTAAACCTCGACTCTTACACCTCCCTGAGTCGGAAAAACATAGTTTTGCAATCTTGTCCGTATGTCTGTGTGTGTGTCTGTGTGTGTAAACACGATAACTTGAGTACTGTTATAGCTAGGTTGATGAAATTTCAAATAGAAGTATTACATTAAAATAGTAGATCCGTATCAACTTTTGAGCGATTTCCGAAAACCGGAAGTGGTACTTTTTCTACTTTGAATTTCTCAAAAGTCTATAACCTGAGTACCATTTCAGATAGATAAATGAAATGTCACATGTAAGTAAAAGATCTAATCCTCTACCTTCTATCAAATTTTGAGTAATTTCCGTTGACCGGAAGTAGTAATTTACGCTATTTTTGATTTCTCAAAAAGCTAATGTAAATTTATAAAGTACTAATAATATTATGCACATTTTTGGCGTTCACTTGATGTGCAATTCTTTTTTCTACGAGATTTTATTCTATTTTAAAAAGTTTAAGTATTTAAAATGGATTAAAAATCATGTCTATATCCCGAGTTCCCATCCCCTGTTTTATATAAGAATATTTGAGAAAGTTTAGGGGAGATCATTCCCGGTTTATTAACTTTGCTCGTATATAAGAAGTATATCTCGACGTTTTACAGTTCTCTGAGTCGGAAAAACATAATTTTACAAGCTTGTCCGTATGTCTGTGTGTGTCTGTGTGTGTGTGTGTGTATCTGTGTGTCTGTAAACACGATAACTTGAGTACCGTTACAGCTAGGTTGATGAAATTTCATATATAAGTATTATATCAAAATCGTAGATCCGTATCAATTTTTCAGCGATCTCCGATAATCGGAAGTGGAATTTTTTCTACTTTCAACTTTTCAAAAGCCTATAATTCGAGTACTTTTTTCAGATTTATAATTGAAATTCTTTGCCATCTTTCAAATTCTGAGTAATTTTCGTTGACCGGAAGTAGTAATTTAGGCTATTTCCGATTCCTCAAAAAATACATGTGAATTTATAAAGTACTAATAATATTCCGCACTATTATACACGGATTGTTTGGCGTTCATTTGGTGCGTAATTATTTTTTCTACGATGATCTATTCTATTTTAAAAAGTTTAAGTATTTAAAAAAACCATGTCTATATCCCGAGTCGCCATCCCCCGTAGTGTTATATAAGAATATTCGAGAAAGTTTAGGGGAGATCACTCCCGGTTTATTAAATTTAAGATCAAAACCTTTAGACTACATTTACCATGTTTGGCACATTATTTCCTTACATTTAGAAAGTTTGATTTTTACTATTCCATAAAAATTAGATCTACTTCCTGCGTAAAAAAAAACACAAGCTGTGGGCTACTCTGTCATAAGTGTAGGCATACATTCTGAACTGTTTTTTTTATTTATACAAAGTAAATAAACGTTTATTAATGTAAATTAAGTTTAAAATCAATCTAGTAGATTTTTTAAACTTGCGGTTGTAATATTTTTGTTTAGTATTTTCCATTATTATATTTTTTCCTGACCTGTAGATTCTATGTAAGAGAACGCAATTTTTGAGTGATTTCTGATCACCAGAATGTGTACTTTCTGTTTCCGGTTTCTAAAATACCAATAACGTAAATACCGTTTTATTAAGTGAACGAAATTACATACGTAAAAAAGGACATATTGACCTAATTCTTTCAAATTGTGATTGATTTACGGAGAACGGAATTAGTTCTTGACGATTTTTTTGATTTCTCAAAAAATATAACTTCTACCAGTGGCGGAACTAGAAAAAAAGGGCCACCCCGCAAAAAATAATTTTGGGCCCCATATATATATATATATATATATATATATATATATATATATATATATATCAGAGGCGTAGCGAGGGGGGGTGCGGACCGCACCGTGTGACACCATTTAGGGGGGTGACACCAAGGCAAAAAATAGTAAAATATATAGAGAAACATTTGAGGGGGGGGGGGTGTGCAAATCGAAAGTTCGGTGGGGGGTGGGGTGCAAATCGTAAATTTGTCCCCGGGAAGAGTCGCTACGCCTCTGAGGGGGTGACACCATTAAGTGCCGCACCGGGTGACACCCGATCTCGCTACGCCACTGATATATATATTTCATATATATATATATATATATATATATATATATATATATATTCATATATATATATATATATATATATATATATATATATATATAATATGAACGTAGAATACTCAATACGGGCTTGTTCGAAATTAGAAAAAAAATTAAAATTTCTTAGCTTTTATTTTTATTTAAAACATGATCACAACATGAACAACACATAATTTGTGTGAGTGCTATTAGTCTGGTTTGAAATTCTCTGTTTAAATGTTTGACATAATGCGTCCTGATTGATAAGTCGGTCAAAAAATATGTAGCATGAAAGCTTTGTATGTGTAATGGTTTTTCGCCTTATGTTTATTTTTATGTTTTTTTGTATTTATATTATTAGTTTTTAATACATTTCCTTTTATTCTATGTCATTCTTTATACTTTATGTATTAAAAAAATAATTAAGAGGAGTAGATCTAATTGCTTTTTAATTTGCTTAGTGCAAATCTATTAAAAGTTTCTATTGACTGTTTAAAAAATAAGTCATGGAAGTGGTTTGAACGTTTGCCTATATTTTTTTGTTCCTTTATGAAACAGCGTGTGTTATTTACTGTAGAGTGTAGAACATCACTGCTGTATTAGATCTGTTTTTTTTAAATAGAAAATTATTTTTTAACTATAAAAAATTATTACGGTCGGCTGTGGGCCCCTAAACGAGCTGCCCCCCCCCCCCCCCCCCGGCGGCACTGTACTTCCGCCCCTGACTTCTACTGGACTGGACCGTTTTATTTCAAACCTTCTTTTTCAGGTAAATCCTCCATGAAAATAAATTTTGACATACACAGATACACAGAGGCTTGCGTGCTGTTCTAAGCACAACTAACCAGGTTACATATACTAAACTCCACACACACACAAACCATACCACAAACACATCACACAACTAACACCACAAACTCATCACCCCACTAACACCACAAACACATCACCCAACCAACACCAACACCATACACACATCACCCAACTAACACCACAAACACATCACCCCATTAACACCACAAACACATCACCCCACTAACACCACACACACATCACCCCACAAACACCACAAACACATCACCCCACTAACACCACAAACACATCACCCAACTAACACCACAAACACATCACCCCACTAACACCACACACACATCACCCCACTAACACCACACACACATCACCCCACTAACACCACACACACATCACCCCACAAACACCACAAACACATCACCCCACTAACACCACACACACATCACCCAACTAACACCACAAACACATCACCCCACTAACACCACAAACACATCACCCCACTAACACCACACACACATCACCCCACCAACATCAACACCATACACACATCACCCCACTAACACCACAAACACATCACCCCACTAACACCACACACACATCACCCCACTAACACCACAAACACATCACCCCACTAACACCACACACACATCACCCCACCAACACCAACACCATACACACATCACCCCACTAACACCACAAACACATCACCCCACTAACACCACAAACACATCACCCAACTAACACCACAAACACATCACCCCATTAACACCACAAACACATCACCCCACAAACACCACACACACATCACCCCACTAACACCACACACACATCACCCCACTAACACCACACACACATCACCCCACTAACACCACACACACATCACCCCACCAACACCAACACCATACACACATCACCCCACTAACACCACAAACACATCACCCCACTAACACCACAAACACACCACCCCACTAACACCACAAACACATCACCCCACCAACACCAACACCAACACCATACACACATCACCCCACTAACACCACAAACACATCACCCCACTAACACCACAAACACATCACCCCACTAACACCACAAACACATCACCCCAATAACACCACATACACATCACCCCATTAACACCACAAACACATCACCCCACTAACACCACAAACACATCACCCCACTAACACCACAAACACATCACCCCACTAACACCACAAACACATCACCCCACTAACACCACACGCATCACCCCACAAACACCACAAACACATCACCCCACTAACACCACAAACACATCACCCCACTAACACCACACACACATCACCCCACTAACACCACACACACATCACCCCACTAACACCACAAACACATCACCCCACTAACACCACAAACACATCACCCCACTAACACCACAAACACATCACCCCACTAACACCACACGCATCACCCCACAAACACCACAAACACATCACCCCACTAACACCAACACCATACACACATCACCCCATTAACACCACAAACACATCACCCCACTAACACCACAAACACATCACCCCAAAGATAATTAGTAACATTGAAGTATAATTTTTACCCCCTGCAAGAGAAACATTAACACAAAGAACAGACTAACGACTAGATACACTGTGTTGACGCTACCCACACTCGTTCACACACTTGTTTTCACCCTCGAACACCACTTCCAAGGGGAGGCCACTCTCAGACACTCTCTATCCGCGCCTACACACTTTCGTATAGACATCTAAGTCACGCCTCCCCCCTTAAAAAAGATTTCTCCTTTTTATTTTGTAAATGCGAATCTTTTTACAGCATTTACCTTTTTTGGGGTTATAAAAAATTCATGAAAAAAAAACAATTCATGTCAGAACAACCGTTTGTTTAACAATATAGATTATGACCATAAATGAATATTCTCAATATTTTGACTGTATCAAATATTTCTCCTTATTATATTATTCAATGATTAATTGTTAATAATAATAGTTAATTGTTCAAAATAATGCACTGAAAAAACATTAACCATATAATATTGTGTGCATACTAAATCAACACGGTTTTAAAGAATTTTAAAGATTGTTCTTTCAAAAGCATTTATCATTAATAGCAATTCGTCAGAACAACAGGGTACTTAACACCGGCAGTGGCGGAACTAGAAAAAAAAGGCCCCCCCGCAGAATTTTTTTTGGGCCCCTATATATATATATATATATATATATATATATATATATATATATATATATATATATATATATATATATATATATATATATATATATATATATGGAAAACAAGGGTCGCTCTAATTTTTTTTTTTAATTTTCATCTGGTACACGAATAAATCAGAGGTTTTCCAACACACGAGCTGGCCCCTTTCAGTTTTCCAAGTGAGAAGCACGGACTCTCTAAATCTAGTCCAACACACCAAACTGACGCCGATTTTTGAGGCTTTCATCAAAACGTTATCAACCGTGTGCCCTGTTTTCCAGAAGTTGAATTATATGTTAACAATGTCGGCAGTTCATTTCTTGGATCTTAGGGCGCGGGTTTGTCCACACTACCAACTAGACACGCCAAGGCATGCTGTAAGTCCCTCGGCGACGGCCTAGGTGTCAGGGGAGTCACGGGGCTCTTGGAGCTACCGGTTACATTACTGCACGGGTGATGGGTGCAACCAGGGGCGTAGCGAGGGGGGGGGGCGGGGGTTGCGGACCGCACCGGGTGACACCATTTAGGGGGGTGACACCAAGGCAAAAAATAGCAAAATATATAGAGAAAAACTTGAAGGGGGTGCAAATCGAAAGTTTGAGGGGGGGGGGTGCAAATCGAAAAGTTGAAAGTTTGTCCCCGGGAAGGGTCGCTACGCATCTGGTGGGTGATGACACCATTAAGTGCCGCACCGGGTGACACCCGACCTCGCTACGCCACTGGGTGCAACACATTGTTTCTTCCGGCAGAGCTCCCCCCTCCCCTCCCCCGAAAACAGTCTATCCTGGAAGAAACATTGGTGCGACACCTAATTAGATTTAGTCATCGAGTGTAGTAGCGAGACTTATTCCTAGTGTTGTGGAAACTTTTAAACGACTGTCTGTGGGGGCCAACTTGCTCATATGTGATGCGCTCAGGATGACACTGACGCCGGTTGTATTCAAGTAGTAACCTCATCCGCTTATGCAGGATGACTGGGGCGCTAAATCACACATTTCCGTTAGGAGTCCCCACTCCAATATGTACAAATGTTAGGCCTATGACAGAAACCTTTGCGGGGCTGTACTCAACAGCTTCCCAAGTTTTCATGGCGATTGGGTGAATGATGCAGTAATGCATAATAGACAGAAAAATGTTTTTCACATGTACAACTGTATGTGGCCAGGTCAGGCGTTGGATAACCTTCTGATTTAGGGGAGGGGGGGGGAGGGACTAACAAAAAGCCAGACCCTCACACACCCGCACCTCAATGACGTCATTTATAAATAGTAATTGACTATTAATAGTGTTCAATTAATTCTAAACGTTTTAATTAATTTCTAAATAATTATATAAAAAATAATCTTACCTGCCCTGTTTTGTGAATTAGATGTGCCTAATACTATGAAAGTAAATTAATATCTGTTGACTAGATCTAGTGCTGTCTAGTGTCTGACAAAATGTGCTGAAGTGGTGAATTGTACGGTTAGGAAGTAGTTCATAAACGATACATTTATCTCCTCGATACTTGTGAGGTTGAGAAAGAGGGATGGGATAGGGGTCGGCTCGGGAAAAAAACTTGAAAGAGACAACAAAACGCCTTGATCTATGTACGTCAGCATCGCCCATTGGAAAACTTACTCAGGGGAGATAATTCCAAGTATATGCCTTAAAAGTTTTCTATGATATTTCTTGTAAAAGCATAAACAAGTAAACGTATATAAAACTGAAGTTTCTAGTATTTTTTTTTTATTATTTGTAGGATACAAGATTCAACCACTATCACAAACACATATTAACATTGAAAAATGTACAATGGATTTCGGGTCCCTTTGCAATGCCGCAGAGAAGAACCGCGCATCACGAAAGCCCACTTCATATGTAGCGGCTTTTCGTGCTATGGACTTTGTTGTTTTTTAAAAAGCATTTTACCGGCGACAGCGTGTGTTTGATTGTAGGGAAATAGAACTCGGCCTTGGCGATGGTTAAAAAATACAACTATAAATAACTGTTTTAAATATGTAAAAAAAAAAACTTGTCGACAATTTTTCAGCCCCCTTTTTGGTCCTCATCCCCTGCCCCATCCGCCACAGTACACTTTGGAGGATCGGTCAAACAGTTACGTGTCCTCTATTTAGCTATCAAAGGGGGGGGGGGGGGCAACGAGTCAAAGAAGTCATTCAAATTTGAAGAGCTGCCTATATTTTATACTGCAGTTTGTGTAATGGATTTTATCTTTTGCGGAAGAGCGTGGTATAGTGACTGTTAAATAAAGTAAAGACACTAGTCAGTAGTTGTTCATTTACCTGATGAAAAGGGGCGGAACTACAGTCCGGCCAGACCCCGCAATGCGCGGGGGGGGGGGGGGGGGGGGGGGGGGGGGGCTGGCCGTCTAGGGGCCCACGGCTGACCAAAATTAGTAATTTTTTTTTTATTTTGAATTTAATTTTCGTGCATTTCTGCCTTAATATTTGGTTTGTAAAAGAAAAACACTGTAGCTGCGGTACGATTATCTTTATTTAGGCCGATTCTAGTCGGAATAAGATACGCATGCGATACGCATGCGCAATGGAGAGAAACTACGACTTAGCGGCGATGTTTTCGATGGTACTGCGCATGCGTGTGTTTACAACCGCAGAACCCTAACACCAACCCTAATCCTATCCCTAACCCTAACCCTAGCCCTAATCCTATCCCTAACCCTAATCCTATCCCTAACCCTAGCCCTAATCCTATCCCTAACCCTATCCCTAATCCTACCCCTAACCCTCATTCTAGCCCTAACCCTAGCCATAGGTCACTGCGCATGCGTAGAACTATCTTTTGCCGAAAAATCTTATTCCCTAACCCTAACCCTAGCCCTAATCCTATCCCTAACCCTAATCCTATCCCTAACCCTAGCCCTAATCCTATCCCTAACCCTAACCCTATCCCTAATCCTACCCCTAACCCTCATTCTAGCCCTAACCCTAGCCATAGGTCACTGCGCATGCGCAGAACTATCTTTTGCCGAAAAATCTTATTCCGAGTAGACACTTCGTTAACAAAATGTGCAGAAGTAGTCAGTTTACAGTTCAGTAGTTCGTTAATCTATGCATTACATCTTATTGTAAGAGTAAGGGTGTGGTGAGGGGTAGAGGTGAGGGGTAGGGGTGAGAGGGGGGAGGGGGGGCGGGGAGAGAGTTGGGAAGGTTCATTGGAAGGGGACAAGAAAGCGCCGATAAACATCTACATGTGCCGACTTTTTTCGGTCGTTTAGAAGACCAGGATAGTCGCCGCAACATTTCCCCAGCCCGATTTCTAAGCGTGCCGGCAGTCAAATTTCAGATTCTTCGCTGAAGGGAGATAACTTAAACTTTTACAAGTTTATTGATACCGTTGTTAAAGTAAAAATTAACGCAATTATAAATGTATGAGATCGAAATAAATAATTATATTTTTTGTAGAATTCAGGCCAGTAGTTTAAACACACAATCATAGATATGTATTTTAATAATGTAAACAATATAACAATGTTTTTTTGTTCTCCTAATCGACGCCACTAAAAAGAACTGTAGGCTACGTCTTTGAAGTTGTCTATGTGTCTGGCGGTCTCTCGAGCTATAGTCTGTGCATTTTTCTCAAAGACGTTTGCCGACTATCGTGTTTGTAACTGTAGAAGAAAGATAACTCGACCTCCACCTAATTTTTTTAAAAACATTTTTTTAAAAATAATTTAGCCAGGATTTTTGGGCCCCCAATCGGTCTGGGCCCCCCCCGCATTGCGGGGTCTGGCGGCACTGTAGTTCCGCCCCTGAGACAAGGCATCAGCCACGACATTGTGTAGCCCCTTTATGTGCTTACTGTCCAACTGGTATTCTAGTAAATATAAACTCCACCGGAGTAACCTCTGGTTTTTTGTGCTCATCTTGTTAAGGAATGTCAATGGATTGTGATCCATTAGCACCAGGATGGGTTGAGCAAGACAACTGACACAAAATTCCAATTGCTGCAATGCCAAGATTATGCCCAAACATTTTTTTCCAAACTTGAATAATTGGCTTGGTGCCTATTTAAGTTTCTTCGAGAAATAACAAATCGGATGCTCCACTTCTTCTTCGTCTAACTGGGACAGGACAGTTCCGACACCGGAATCGCTGGCGTCCACAGCTAGTCGGAATTGACGTTTAAAATCTGGGGTTACCAATACCGGAGAGCCAGTTAGCATGGTTTTAATCCTTACAAAGGCTTCCTCGTATTCTGGCGGTTTTTTGTTGAGAAAGTTGGTTAAGGGGGCGGTTATCACTGAAACATTAGCACCGAATTTCCTGTAATATTCTGCCTTCCTCAGAAACCTCATTAACTGCTTTTTATCATTGGGAGGTGAAAAAGCCTGAATAGTCTCTGTCTTAGCTGCAATCGGCTTCACTTGTCCTTGTCCGACGACATGACCTAGATATTCGACTGTGGCGTGGCAAATTTCACTCTTGTTCAAGTCTTTATCGTGTAATTCAAGTCATCGTTCTTGTATTCGACCCCATATGGGCCAAAATATCTGGCTTGTAGTGTCTGACCTGGTATGGGGAGAAACACCAATACCTCATCCCCCCCCCCCCCCGTGAGAACGAGCGGGCTTTCGTCTTCCTATCATACCATGTTTTCATTTTATTCTGTGATTGTTTCAAGTGAGATCGTGCCAGCCGACAGGCCTCACTTAGTTGATTCTTAAATCTAAGGACGTAATCTAGAAGACCTTCGGTTGGGGTCGAAGACATACACATATCCTTAAGTGATTTCAGTGGACCTCGAACCGTATGGTCGAACACCAGTAAATCCCAGATATTCCTGTACCGCCTCTCGGGAAGCAAACAGCAACATGGGAATTCCTTCGTCCCAATCTCTTTTGTGGTGGTAACAATATGTGCGGGATATGTTTTTCAGTGTTTGGTGGAATCGTTCCAGGGTACCTGTGATTCTGAATGATAAGCATTCGACATACACTGTTTCACTCCCAATTGTTTCATCACTTGTTTGAACAATCTGGCGGTAAAATTGATTCCCTGGTCGGACTGCACCTCTCTGGGGAGACCAAACACTGTAAAAAATTTGATTAAAGCTTTCACAATGTTTGGAGTTTTAATTTTCCTGAGAGGAACAGCTTCTGGAAATCTGGTCGCGGCGCACATTATGGTAAACAAGTATTGATGGCCAGATTTGGTCTTGGGTAGTGGTCCTACACAGTCGATGATAGTCCGACTCAAAGGTTCTTCGAAGGCCGGAACCGGATGTAGAAGAGCAGGTGGTATTGTTTGGTTTGGTTTTCCAATTAATTGACACGTGTGGCATGTTCGACAGTATTCGGCCACATCTTTTCTCAATTGAGGCCAAAAGAAATGTGAAGCTATCCTCTGGTAAGTCTTTTTCACTCCTAAATGACCTGAAAGAGGCGTATCATGTGCCGAGGTCAAAATGTCGGTACGACAATTTGATGTAGGACTCTCCACTCTTCGTCTGCCTCAGGGGGGGGGGGGGTCTCCATTTTCTGATGAGCATTCCGTCTTTCAAATAATACACACACGGACCCGGTTCTGTCTCTTCCAACGGAAGGGCATTCTCGCGGAGTTTGGCTATCTCCATATCCTTGGTCAATTAAATATTCTTAAGCTGGTTTGCCCCTTTGTCTTGTCGTTGATAAAAATTGGAGAGGAATGTATCCGCCAATTCTACATCAGTGTCATCTCTTTTTCCAACGGAAATCGGTTCTTGGGATACAAAGTAATTAAAATTAGCTTTTTGGGCACCCTATTAGAATATTTAAAGAGGGGCGATAAAGCATGGAAGTTGTTTGAAGGTTTGCCTATCTTTCACACTGCAGCTCATGTAATTTTTTTGTCTATGCACCGTTGTGTGTTAATTACTTTAGAACAATCACTGCTGTTGTAGATCGTTTTTTAAACTTTTTTTTTTAAAAACCCACTAGTCTATGAAGGAGCAAAAAAAAAATATTATTAATTGAATTAATATTTGTGCTTTAATTAGTTGTATTTTTAGTTATTCTTGTAGCGTAGGAATAGATCCCTCAATTTAATTTTTTTACTGACATTAATCTTTAAGACTGATCGACGCACATTTAATCTTCTGATCGACGCACATCTTCTGAATGGATTCCGAAAGAAGATGGAAACAGCCACAGAAAGAAAGAAGAAGTATAATACCCTTAGCAATGAAGGCAGAAACAGGTAATACTTTCAATATTAGGTAGGCCTACACGTACATTCAAATTTATAGTATATACAAGTTCTAAATTGAGGTAGATTAACTTCACATTTATATTAATACTAGCGTACCCATTCGGCGCGTTGCATCGGGCTTACGCAATATTGTAAACGGATTTCATCAATACGTTTCCAATGGAGTAATTTTTAGATGCGTGACCTTGTTTTCTAAAACGAAGTAATTTAGATTTATAAACAATGCCGACGCTATTTTTCTTGGATCTGAGTTGTTATGGCGTGGCTTTACCCCCGCTAATGCCAGACGCCACAGGGGAACTGTGTGAAAACTCTGAGTCCACGTAAATCACCCTTCGTAATAATTAGTTAGAACACACCTACACGACCGTTTGTGTATCTGGGGCGTCGCCGTGTGCGCTTTCGGTAACCATCGGTTAAACTACTGCAGGGGCGCTGTGTATAGCCCCTAGTACGGCATATCATCGAATTTCTTGTGCCCCTGTCCGGGGTACCGAACGACACACCTGATTTGATTTGTGTGAAAGGCTATAGGATCCCATTGTATCCATTATGATCATCATCCCTGTATGTTGAGCATCAGGGCGCAACCACACTTTTTCATAGTACACTTTTCTGGGCGATTCTTCTAAGTTGTGCCCCATCTGCTTCTGGTTCACTGACAATTGACATTTTTCATGTTTGTTTTGGCCTACCTACTTTCTTCTTTTCTTGAGGCTTCTAATCTAAAGCCTGTCTTCAGATTTTGCTAAGTGGTTTACGCAGGGTATGTCCAATCCATTCACATTCGTGCTTTTGTATTTCTTTGCCACCTGATGTTCAATATGCGGCCCGTATATGAAAGTGTACAGTTTTATTAATTGAGAACGGATGTGGGCGACACGGCCCGATAAAACAACTTTGCTACAGAAAACGCAAACGGATCCAATGTGAATCACACTCTTTAAATCAAATGTCGGGGCCATATTGCTTACGGTTGAGCCCTGGGCACCTAATGGCACCCTACCGGGCGCCGCCCTTCGAAATGTATTTTTTCCCATATAAACCGGCAAATGAATACTCTCGATAACTTCCCAAAAGGTGTAGTAATGTTGAACAATAAAAGTTTAAAATCTTAGAAGTTACCGTAATACAGTCTGTTATAAAAGAAAAAAAATTGCGTTCTATCGGACTTATATATATTATGAGCTGTTAGCCGTTAAAATCACTATATGTGTAAGTAACTTTAGGGGGGGGGAACATCCTGTGAAATTATCAGAAGAAGCTTCACTGTACTCATGACTCACATTTCGTTTTCTGTCATTAAAAAAAAAGCCAAAGCAGAAAATAAGCATGCATCAAAATATATATGGGTATGTGATGCAGAAACGTTTAACCCAGGCAGAAGGGGGACTGGTTAGGGTTATAACCCCTCCCCCTCCATTGATCCTTCTGTAAAAACAAAATTGTTATCATAATTGTACAGAGCGACATTTAGGTCACACCCAGGGTCACACACGCTGGGTAAGATAATAGACCTAAAGTGACCGGACAGGTCACACACGCTGGGTAAGATAATAGACCTAAAGTGACCGGACAGTGGTGAAGTTGAACACCCCTTCCCCACCCCGTACTGATCTGTTTTCATATCTGGGAAATTTCGGCAAAGCGGTAAAAACTGACCAGTTGTATTTCCTTATACAACTTTTGTAATTTTTGTGAAAACAAAGAGTAGTTTTCAAAAATATCAATTGCTAAGTCGAATGGGAAAACTAACGCACAGGCTCTAAGCCCTCGATGAGGGTTAAGAAGTGACCGCGAATGAAATTCTCCTTTTATGAGCTATATATCGGAAATTAATTTTGCACGACGAGCCCCTATGGCGCTTGGCGACGTCGTAGAACAACACTGTAGATAACCAAAAAAAAAAGAAAAAAAAAAGAACACTTTTTGCCGTCGTAAAATCTCCATAGGGCCGTTAAATCTGACGGATGCCATTTTTAATTTCTTGTATACAAAGTATAGAGAAAGTATTGTAATCGTGCAAAAAAAAAATCGAGATTTTTGCAAATCTCGACGTTTTACATCTCACTGATTCGGAAAAACATAATTTTGCAATCTTGTCCGTATGTCTGTGTGTGAGTCTGTGTCTGTGTCTGTAAACACGATTACTTGAGTACCGTTACAGCTAAGTTGATGAAATTTTAGATATAAGTATTATATCAAATGTGTAGATCGGTTTCAACTTTTGAGCAATTTCCGATAACCGGAATCGGAACGTTTTCTACTTTCAATTTTTCAAAAGCCTATAACTTGAGTACTATTTCAGATAGATCAATGAAATTTTACTTGTAAGTAATAGATCTAGTTTTCTGCCTTCTGTAAAATTTGGAGTAATTTCCGTTGACCGAAAGTAGCAATTTTCGCTATTTCCGATATCTCTAAAAAGTGCATGTGGATTTATAAAGTACTAATAATATTCCGCACTATTATACACATTTTGTTTGGCATTCACTTAGTGTGCAATTTTTTTTTCTACGAGATTCTATTCTACTTTTAAACGTTTAAGTAATTAAAAATAGATTTTAAATATTGCCTATATCCCGAGTTTCCATCACACGTAGTGTTATAAAAGAACTAGCTGCATACCCGTGCTCCACCACGGTAAATCGTTTTTAAATGTACCCATTTGGGAATAGAACAAAACTAAACACAACACAAAAACTACACAAACACAAAAGAAAACACAATTAACCCCAAAAGAAAACACCAACACAATGCAAACACAAACGCCAAAAAACACAAATGAAAAAACAAACACAACACTCATAACATAAACACAACTTAAATACAGACATAAACGCATAGTAAAGTTCAGCCCGGGGCGCCAAATCGCACACTGTCCAAGACGCGTTATGCGAAAGAGTTAAAGCAGTGGCAACTATAAATTTAAGTCTTTATATAAACAAACCCTACTCTTTTAGTTATAATAAGACAATGCGATGAACTGAAAAGCACTGCATGGTGCGATGTTTACTTTTATGGTTCCAAAATCTATTACGATCGCTAGTCTGACAGCCGCAGATCTAACGAACGCCCCGGGTTCGTTTTGATGTAGTTAATGACAGAGGTCTACTAAAGAGGGTGAGAACACAACAAATTTCATCGAGGGCTCGTTAATAAGATCTAGGGGTATAAGCACGCTGAACTGATGTGACTCACAACTAGGAGAAACTGTCAACAACCGTTTAATAAGTGTACAGGAATTAAAATGACACTTGGTCTATACGAAAATAATATAAAAACTAAGAGTAAATAATAATCCAACAGCAAACTTACAGCCAACTCACAGTTAATGAAATAAATCACTAGACTAGATTACAAATGTCACAGGTGTGGCATTGGAGAATGAATACAACTTAAGGAAAACTATTGGAAACTCTGAATGGCACTAGAAACACCAATAATAGGGGAAAAACTGCCGCTACAAACTATGTAACACAAAATGGCGTCACACACACATGGCACTCTCTCTCTCGAGATCTATGGTCAAAAGACTGCCCCGAGCTTTTTTGTTCAGGGGTTTTTAAACAAGATCAAAACCAAGTGAGGTCACTCCAAAGTCATAAGACTATTGGTTGAGTATTTACTAAGGTTCGAAATAACCTATTAAAATTTCATCACATGACGTGACGGAAAAGTACTAGTGATTGTACAACTCTCCCAAGGTCGATTCCATGAACCAAAACTAAGTTATAAAAATAAGACTTAAGTAGGTCACAAGTCAGAGAAAGGAACTTAAAAGGGACAACAAAACGCCGATGTGCTTCTGTCCATCAGTACCGAAGCTGGGATGGTCTCAACTACTTTTCCTAGATTTCATCTATTAATAGTGTATGTCTCATGTAATTTCATCTATTGGTAGTGTATGTCTCATGTGATTTCATCTATTGGTAGTGCATGTCTCATGTAATTTCATCTATTGGTAGCGTATGTCTCATGTAATTTCATCTATTGGTAGTGTATGTCTCATGTAATTTCATCTATTGGTAGTGTATGTCTCATGTAATTTCATCTATTGGTAGTGTATGTCTCATGTAATTCCATCTATTGGTAGTGTATGTCTCATGTAATTTCATCTATTGGTAGTGCATGTCTCATGTAATTTTATCTATTGGTAGTGTATGTCTCATGTAATTTCATCTATTGGTAGTGCATGTCTCATGTAATTTCATCTATTGGTAGTGTATGTCTCATGTAATTTCATCTATTCGTAGTGTATGTCTCATGTGATTTCATCTATTGGTAGTGTATGTCTCATGTAATTTCATCTATTGGTAGTGTATGTCTCATGTAATTTCATCTATTCGTAGTGTATGTCTCATGTGATTTCATCTATTGGTAGTGTATGTCTCAAGTGATTTCATCTATTGGTAGCGTATGTCTCATGTAATTTCATCTATTCGTAGTGTATGTCTCATGTGATTTCATCTATTGGTAGTGCATGTCTCATGTAATTTCATCTATTGGTAGTGTATGTCTCATGTAATTTCATCTATTGGTAGTGTATGTCTCATGTGATTTCATCTATTGGTAGTGTATGTCTCATGTAATTTCATCTATTGGTAGCGTATGTCTCATGTAATTTTATCTATTGGTAGCGTATGTCTCATGTGATTTCATCTATTGGTAGTGTATGTCTCATGTGATTTCATCTATTGGTAGTGTATGTCTCATGTAATTTCATCTATTGGTAGCGTATGTCTCATGTAATTTTATCTATTGGTAGCGTATGTCTCATGTGATTTCATCTATTGGTAGTGTATGTCTCATGTAATTTCATCTATTGGTAGTGTATGTCTCATGTGATTTCATCTATTGGTAGTGTATGTCTCATGTAATTTCATCTATTGGTAGTGTATGTCTCATGTGATTTCATCTATTGGTAGTGCATGTCTCATGTAATTTCATCTATTGGTAGTGTATGTCTCATGTAATTTCATCTATTGGTAGTGTATGTCTCATGTGATTTCATCTATTGGTAGTGTATGTCTCATGTAATTTCATCTATTGGTAGTGTATGTCTCATGTGATTTCATCTATTGGTAGTGCATGTCTCATGTAATTTCATCTATTGGTAGTGTATGTCTCATGTAATTTCATCTATTGGTAGTGTATGTCTCATGTGATTTCATCTATTGGTAGTGTATGTCTCATGTAATTTCATCTATTGGTAGCGTATGCCTCATGTAATTTTATCTATTGGTAGCGTATGTCTCATGTGATTTCATCTATTGGTAGCGTATGTCTCATGTAATTTCATCTATTGGTAGTGTATGTCTCATGTGATTTCATCTATTGGTAGTGTATGTCTCATGTAATTTCATCTATTGGTAGTGTATGTCTCATGTAATTTCATCTATTGGTAGTGTATGTCTCATGTGATTTCATCTATTGGTAGTGTATGTCTCATGTAATTTCATCTATTGGTAGTGTATGTCTCATCTATTGGTAGCGTATGTCTCATGTAATTTCATCTATTGGTAGTGTATGTCTCATGTAATTTCATCTATTGGTAGTGTATGTCTCATGTAATTTCATCTATTGGTAGTGTATGTCTCATGTAATTTCATCTATTGGTAGTGTATGTCTCATGTGATTTCATCTATTGGTAGTGTATGTCTCATGTAATTTCATCTATTGGTAGTGTATGTCTCATGTAATTTCATCTATTGGTAGTGTATGTCTCATGTGATTTCATCTATTGGTAGTGTATGTCTCATGTAATTTCATCTATTGGTAGTGTGTGTCTCATGTAATTTCATCTATTGGTAGCGTATGTCTCATGTGATTTCATCTATTGGTAGTGTATGTCTCATGTAATTTCATCTATTGGTAGTGTATGTCTCATGTAATTTCATCTATTGGTAGTGTATGTCTCATCTATTGGTAGCGTATGTCTCATGTAATTTCATCTATTGGTAGTGTATGTCTCATGTAATTTCATCTATTGGTAGTGTATGTCTCATGTAATTTCATCTATTGGTAGCGTATGTCTCATGTAATTTCATCTATTGGTAGCGTATGTCTCATGTGATTTCATCTATTGGTAGTGTATGTCTCATCTATTGGTAGCGTATGTCTCATGTAATTTCATCTATTGGTAGTGCATGTCTCATGTAATTTCATCTATTGGTAGTGTATGTCTCATCTATTGGTAGCGTATGTCTCATGTAATTTCATCTATTGGTAGTGTATGTCTCATGTAATTTCATCTATTGGTAGTGTATGTCTCATGTAATTTCATCTATTGGTAGCGTATGTCTCATGTAATTTCATCTATTGGTAGTGTATGTCTCATGTGATTTCATCTATTGGTAGTGTATGTCTCATGTAATTTCATCTATTGGTAGTGTATGTCTCATCTATTGGTAGCGTATGTCTCATGTAATTTCATCTATTGGTAGTGTATGTCTCATGTAATTTCATCTATTGGTAGTGTATGTCTCATGTAATTTCATCTATTGGTAGTGTATGTCTCATGTAATTTCATCTATTGGTAGTGTATGTCTCATGTAATTTCATCTATTGGTAGTGTATGTCTCATGTGATTTCATCTATTGGTAGTGTATGTCTCATGTGATTTCATCTATTGGTAGTGTATGTCTCATGTAATTTCATCTATTGGTAGTGTATGTCTCATGTAATTTCATCTATTGGTAGTGTATGTCTCATGTAATTTCATCTATTGGTAGTGTATGTCTCATGTAATTTCATCTATTGGTAGTGTATGTCTCATGTAATTTCATCTATTGGTAGTGTATGTCTCATGTAATTTCATCTATTGGTAGTGTATGTCTCATGTAATTTCATCTATTGGTAGTGTATGTCTCATGTAATTTCATCTATTGGTAGTGTATGTCTCATGTAATTTCATCTATTGGTAGTGTATGTCTCATGTAATTTCATCTATTGGTAGTGTATGTCTCATGTAATTTCATCTATTGGTAGCGTATGTCTCATGTAATTTCATCTATTGGTGGTGTATGTCTCATGTAATTTCATCTATTGGTAGTGTATGTCTCATGTAATTTCATCTATTGGTAGTGTATGTCTCATCTATTGGTAGCGTATGTCTCATGTAATTTCATCTATTGGTAGTGTATGTCTCATGTAATTTCATCTATTGGTAGTGTATGTCTCATGTAATTTCATCTATTGGTAGTGTATGTCTCATGTGATTTCATCTATTCGTAGTGTATGTCTCATGTGATTTCATCTATTGGTAGTGTATGTCTCATGTAATTTCATCTATTGGTAGTATATGTCTCATGTGATTTCATCTATTGGTAGCGTATGTCTCATGTAATTTCATCTATTGGTAGTGTATGTCTCATGTGATTTCATCTATTGGTAGTGTATGTCTCATTTGATTTCATCTATTGGTAGCGTATGTCTCATGTGATTTCATCTAATCGTAGTGTATGTCTCATGTAATTTCATCTATTGGTAGTGTATGTCTCATGTAATTTCATCTATTGGTAGTGTATGTCTCATGTAATTTCATCTATTGGTAGTGTATGTCTCATGTAATTTCATCTATTGGTAGCGTATGTCTCATGTGATTTCATCTATTGGTAGTGTATGTCTCATGTAATTTCATCTATTGGTAGCGTATGTCTCATGTGATTTCATCTATTGGTAGTGTATGTCTCATGTAATTTCATCTATTGGTAGTGTATGTCTCATGTAATTTCATCTATTGGTAGTGTATGTCTCAAGTAATTTCATCTATTGGTAGTGTATGTCTCACGATATTTTATCTTTCAGACCAAGAAGTTTTACCCCAACCCTCTGAGACCGGCTCAATAAAACCAAACGTATCCACGCAAATCCCTAAAGTTTATCTCAAGTCTACCGTCTCTTTTAGAAACAAATGCCGAGGGATGGGGGAGGCGATGGAAAAAGGAAATTCTTCCGGGAACTCACCAGAAGCAACAGTATGTAAGTATTTTGGGCCATAGGTTGTCAGAGCTGAAGTTTGTCATAATTTGAAACCTCTAATCTGTGACGAAACAAAAAAAAAAGACACGCTCGCGCAAAAAATGGATAAAGCCCCCCCCCCACCCGTTACCTACCTACCTGTCTGCCCGCCCGCCTACACGCCCTACCTAACCCTAACACTAACCCACCCACCCATCCAACCACTTGTTCATTAATTAGTTCTCTTCGCTCTACTGTTATTAAAATGTATCTTTTTTTCTAGGAATCTAAGCAAGAATGTTATTTGACATTGATCATCTTAATTTGTTTCAGCAATGTGCATGCATTTAATATTTTCTTCATGTTCTTTTGTTAACGTATGCGCATTAATGAAAACTTTACGAAACACTTTTAGTCGTTATATAACTAGACCCTGCTACATTACTTGCAATAATACAATACGAAGCAAATAATGCATGGCATTCTACTTCATTCGAGAAGAGATGTCTGAAAGAAACTCTGAATGTGACTTTTGTTGTCAAGGTTGAGCTTAGGTGCAAGGTTTAGTGGTATGAGTGCGACCATCTTAGTATGAATGTGCAGTAACTACGTGTAGATCAAGGTTACCAGATAAAGAATTGTGGTAATGTCTACATTTAGCGTCTACACACTAAATATATTGGCGTTATTGATTGTTGAATAAAAAATATAATTAAGAATCGAATGCCGAAAACGATATAAAATAGTAATGACGTCATTAATAATAGAGACCAAAAAATTAAACGCCTAATTTATTTGTCTAATTTTAGTAGTGAATATAGATATCGAAAAAAAAATCCGGAAAACTAATTTATGTGGTTAAAGTTAGTATCAGATGAAGGTTATGGTGAAAAGCTATTTTATTTCTAGGTTAAAATGCCGATGTGGATAAAAAGTTCGTTTTTTAATGAAATTTTTCGTTTCCGGTTAAATTTGAAGTTCAGGTGGTGATTTTGGTTATAGCATCGGTTTAGAGAAAAAGACAGCACTATCAACCTATCGCTGGTTGTATCTCTACCTCAACGGGTCATTTATTTTGTATTATAGATTTAGACAACAGCAGAAAGTCATTAAAGTGGTTTGAAAGTTTCCCTATCTTTCACACTACAGGTCACGTAGTTGTTTTATTTTTGGCTACGAAGCAATTGCGTCATTTTAAAAATATTTTCACAAAACTGCTCTCAGCGTGAAAGAAAATATTTTTTTTTAAATTTTGGCTCCCTCAATTAAATGCCCCTCCTCTCTGCATTGCGGGGTCCAGCGTATGGTAGTTCTGCCCTGCCTACAAATTGTAAGCTACAATATCTAACCCTGCCCTGCCTACAAATTGTAAGATATCTAACCCTGCCCTGCCTACAAATTGTAAGCTACAATATCTAACCCTGCCCTGCCTACAAATTGTAAGCTACAATATCTAACCCTGCCCAGCTTACAAATTGTAAGCTACAATATCTAACCCTGCCCTGCCTACAAATTGTAAGCTACAATATCTAACCCTGCCCTGCCTACAAATTGTAAGCTACAATATCTAACCCTGCCCTGCCTACAAATTGTAAGCTACAATATCTAAAATAGACCGAAGCCTGGCTGACGATGTCTACTCTAGCTGATGATGTATGCATGAGCCTTCTCTAGCTTGTAATATCTAATACAGACCACTTGTAGATTCTGTTATTTTCATCATCATCATTTCCTGTTCGTGCCCACGACACATGGGGCCAATGAAGTAGAGTTCATGTGCTTGAGAGACCTTGACATATGAAGGGATAGTGTGGTCAGCATTAGATTCTGTTTTTTGACATGAGCTAAAGCTTCAAGACAATGTCGACAATTTTTATTTACCCAGGCGCTGAACAGCCATGCAGAACACGAGCTGGATCAGAAGAGCCGGTTAAAAACCGGAAATGGCCGGTCTTGGATGAAAAAGTAAGATCAATGAGAGAGAAGCGTGCCAGGCATGGTTCTACTGTTTATAAAGCCAGCATTCAAAGCCTGACATCTAATGGTAACATTCGATAAAAGTTTATAACAATAACTAAAGACATTATTTTACAGTTTACAAAGCCAGCGTTCAAGGGGATATGCTCAGTAAAAAATCACTAAAATCCTGATTTTTTTTTGTAATAATGTGTTTCTTGCAATTTTGGATTCCTTGTCCATTTTTGTATTTAAAAGATAATAACTTTAATGAGACAATTTTTTTATGTGTTTAAAATACCATTTTAATAACCCTATTATTTAAAATAATAATTTTTTTCACAATCTTACAAGCTCTCTACAAAAGTTTTATATTCGTCATCATATTGTATTTGGCATTATTGGAAAGCTGGATTTCTTGTGTAATTTCCATCATCTCGGATACATAAAGCTTAAAATCGGCTGCACCAATTACACAGATATGGTAATTTCCTGACTTACTTTGCTTTACCTTTTGCCGTTTTTCTCGGTTCGTAGTTGTTTAACACTAAAAAGCCTACTACATTTATTAAACAATGCACACCTCCGCTCCACCCCCACCCCCCCCCCCCCCTTATATTTTTAGTAATTGTTCCTCGTGCAAAAAAAAAATTTGTCACGAGGGAATTCTGATAGCTTTCATAGAAAATCAGCTTATGGAAAATAACATTCAAATTTTGCAACTTTTGCATACTGAAAAGAGTACAATTTTTTCAGACCTTGTAGAATTCTGACCAGTTTTTTTCTTTAAAAAGTTGTAGTGAAGAAAGCTGTATTATATACTGAAATATAAGCCGTTTAAATTGGATTGCTATAAGTGCATAAATAAAAAAGCCTTAGCATTTTTAAAAGTACCGAAAAATTCAAAATGACGGAGGTTTTTTCGGGTTCCCATGACAACAATACATATTTTAAAGCATTTTTTGCTATTTAATACTTACTTTCGTATGCCTAACATGGTTAAAGTATTCAAAAGGCTTTAGATCTTAGATTGATAAAAAAATGCAATAAACTGAGCATATCCCCTTAAGTCTAACAAGGGAACTAATTTTGTTTAATGTAAAAAAAGATGGAAAACAAGTAATCCACCGTATCTAGTCCAATTGATCTAGATGTGTTTGCCTATACAGACTATCAACCAGAGGCGTAGCGATGGGAGGGGGGGGGGCGGGCAGGAGGGGACACATGTCCCCGGGCGCCGACCTTAGGGGGCGCCAAAATGGGTTATAGAAACAAATAAAAATGTCACTTTAGCTGCATTTTTGCAGTTTGCGGGGGAGGGGGTGCAAATCGAAAGTTTAAGGGGGGGTGCAAATCGAAAATTTGCTCCCGAGGGGGCGCCAAATTGACATTTTGTCCCCGGGCGCCGGGAAGGGTCGCTACGCCTCTGCTATCAACTAGGCTTACAAAGTCAAATACAACCACCTGACCAGTTACATTCAATCATGTAACTGATAGGCCGGGGTCCCGTGGACATTAAAAGCCATGGGGCCTTTACCTTACAGCAGGGGTCTCCAAACTACCGCCCGCGGGCCGGATGCGGCCCGCGAGGTCATTTTATCCGGCCCGCGAATATTTTTTATGTCCACTGAAAAAATGTTTGTTGGTGGTGGCTGAGGAGCTTTGCACAGAAAATTCAAAACAATTTTAAAATGTAGCTTTGGGTGCAAATACAATTACTCGCCGTGTTGCAGACATTGGTGGAAACATTGCGACTCAAATAGCGAAAAATTCAAGCAAGTTTCGCCATTTTTCAATTGCAATGGATGAGTCGCTGGACAGCTGTTCCACCTCTCAAATGCTTGTCAACTGCTTGTGTTCATTAGAGGTGTGGATGAAGACATGAACATAACACAAGAGCTGGCTTCCCTACATATAATGTATGACACTGTTACCGAAGAGGATATCTAACCTTAGATAGTTCAGAGACAAACACAAAATCGCAAGATTTGCCATATTTCACATCAGTAAGATTGCTAATTTTGCGAGAAAAGTTTGAGCAGAGTATCTAAGAAAAGAAATAGGTGACTTCCTGATAGTAAAGGCAAGTCACAGCCATTATTGTCTGATGAAGAATGGGTATAGAAATTGGCCTCTGCTGCAGTCATAACCAGTCATTTAATTTTTCTGAACCTAAAACGGCAAGAGAGTGAAATCTAGTTTCTGATCTATACACCCACCTAAAGGCCTTTAGATACAAATTTGTCATGGTTTTGGAACAAGTACAGGCTAACAACTTGACACACTTTCGGCAGTGCAAGGTCTTTACGGCTGAATCAACCACTGAGTTTCCCACGTCATTTACATACGAGATCATTAAAGACCTCCAGCTGCAGTTTCAGTAGCGATTTTCTGACTTGGATTCAAAGGCAGAAGAAGTGAGATTGTTTCAGAACCCATTTGAAGCAAATGTAACCAGTTGCAAAGATGAACTGCAGCTGGAGTTCATTGAAATATAAGAAAATGACATCCTTAGAGACACGTTAAAAGAAGGGCAGATTGATTTTCTTAAGTTTTTGCACAAGGAAAACTTTCCTAACATTAAAACTTTTGCATCAAAGTACCTATCAAATTTTCGAACAACATGCCTGTGTGAATAAACGTGTAGAACAATTTGAGAACAAACGTGGACCTCGGTGGGGGGTGGGGGTGGACACTTGAAATTTGTATATATTTCTAAATAAATTATATTTCGTTGGGGGGGGGGGGGGGCACGACCCTGAAGAGATGCCTTAAAGAAACTCTGGCCCCCGAACTGATATTTGATAGTTAATGCGGCCCTCGGGCTGAAAAGTTTGGAGACCCCTGCCTTACAGCAGTGACTTACGCAAGTTTTGGGATAGGGTCAGATTATATATATATATATATATATATATATATATATATATATATATATATATATATATATATAACGTGTGTTAGGTACCCATCAGGGTGGACTCAGGGATTTTCCACTAACTTAAACCCGGATTCGAACTCGAAACTCTCGGGTTAGCAGAGAGTAAGGAAAAAGTAAAAGAAATACATACATTTTGAGAAATTGTTTGCGAAGTTACTCATAATTCTTTCCAAATTTACCTAAACAGATAAATAATGGTAGTTATTGTGTTAGTCCCAAAATAAGGGTTATGGTTGTAATTCAATTAAATAATGTGATCATTGATTTCAATACCAAGCATCCAGTACAAGTTTTGGAGGTTTATCTCTTTCTTAATAGTTTTATATTTAAAAACACGTTTCATACACGTATTTTATGAAATCTTTCAAATTTTATTTATAAGAAAATAAACGTTGAATATGCTATATAGAAAAGCTGTTGCAATTTATTTCACAAAATACTTCTGTCTTTTTCAAACATTTATATAAAATTATAATATACGAGCTGACCTGCGACGTAGCATACGCCGCCATCTAGTTGTTTTATTTTCTGCTTATCAGCAATTCATAATTTGTGAAATAAACACTACCCCTTCCAGCCCTCCCCCCCCCCCCCTCCCTCCCAGTGAATGCAGCCGTTTACAGACAAATAAAAGATCAATCAGACATTGTTACCTCCCCTTCGTTTCAAAAAGTTTAATACTAAATTATCTGCCCCTAATAGCTGTAGATAAGCAGGGTGGGACAGAAGCAGACATAAAAATAAGGACGAGCAATGCAAGAGCAGTCTTCAACCAACTAAAAAATGTTTGGGGTTCTGGAGATTTAACCCTTGGAATAAAAATCTGGATCTTCAACAGACTAGTAAAACCTGTTTTACTCTATGGAGCTGAACATGGAGAATAACTGCTATAAATAAGAAGAAAATACAATCATTTATAAACGCATGCCTCAGAAAGATCCTATGAATTCGCTGGCCTAAAACCATTAGAAATGATGTTCTATGGCATCGGACAAATCAACTGCCAGCTGAAGTAGAGACCCTCCAGAGAAAATGGAAATGGATTGGCCACACACTCAAGGAGCCTGTATCCAGCATAACAAGACAGGCCCTTACATGGAATCCGCAAGGCAGGAGGAGAGGCAGACCATGAAAGACCTGGAGACGTGAGCTAGAAGAAGACACCAAGAAGATCGGATACACCTGGGGACAAGTCGAGAGACTAGCCCAGGACAGAGATGTCCGGAAAGCTCTTGACAGCGGCCTATGTCTCAGTAGGGACGACAGGCAAACCTAACATAATAGCCGTCACTAACCCGGCTCTATGATTGTAAACATTCGTCGTAAACGAAAGCTCACCAGATTGGTGGAGGTGCAGGTGGTAACGATTTGCCTGGAGAGCGGGGGAGTAAAGGCGTGCGTCTACGTCATGTCCTGCATGGTCCCCATGAAGAGAATTATATATATATATATATAGACTAGACTACCCGTTATCTAGTTAGATAACTGTGAATTTCGGGGGTCATCCATAAATGCCATCACGTCTGTCACGTATCACAAAATAACCAGACCCCACATCCAAAAAGACGTTTTTTATCTTTTAAAAACACCGATTTCGGCTGAGCATGGGTCTGACAAAAAATCCCTTCATACACTGACGTCACAGGTGACATACTCAACTCTGCTTCACCTGCCCAGTGCCCCGCGAGTTCCCGATAGGCAACTTCAGCATTCACGTTTAAAAAAACAAAAATAGAAAAAAAAAATTAAGATTGTCGTGATGTGTCTAGAACCCGTACCACCCGCATGGTTGCGATTACACTACCATATTAGCTATATGGGCACCGACTAACCAATGTAGAATTAGTCCTATTATGTATTGCAAACCAGTTACGCGAATAGGTCCTATTATTTAAATTTAATTAGGGGCCTATATCCCAAATTAGCTAATTCCATAGCTAAACAAAGATTTATATAAAATAATTAATGCCTGAAATAGTTTAGTATATAGATTCTAGTTCTAGATTCTAGATGTATGTAATATATTGAGAATTGTGAAGTCAAGGGAACTCACTCTTCTTGTATTAGTATTATATTTATAATGTCATTTTGAGTGATGTCCCTTGTTAATATATATGTTATTGTCTCGTCACTTCCTCTTCCTGTGTTTC